TGACGAAGCGACGACGGATCGGATCGTAATGGAGGATTCGGAGACTTCGAATTCCTCCGTCGTTAATGCCGATGAGGTCTGCAACAGCAGAGATGAAGAGTCCTCTGTTTTAATCTTCGATATTCTCAAGAAGGAAAGTCCCTGCGGCGTTGGCGGCGGTCCAGTGCCTGAATTAGTGACCCAGGCGCTTTTCCCGGTTGCTGGTGGGTGGGGAGATTCTGGGTCTCCGATACTCAGGACCCAGTGGCTGAACCTGTCGCCGACGGCGGATTCTGGTGGCGGTGGAGGACAGCCAGAGCTGAAAACTGTGCAGCCGAAACAACAGCAGGTGAGGAAGAGCCGCCGTGGGCCGCGGTCCAGAAGCTCGCAGTACCGTGGTGTTACGTTTTACCGGCGAACTGGAAGATGGGAATCTCATATTTGGTAATTAAATTAAAAAAATAAAATTTGGTGTTCATTTTTAATAATTGGTTCTTTCCCAATTTAGGAATTTCGTATTTTTATTTTTCGTGGAAACATTTTTAAATATTTTTTTAATTATAATTTTGATTTTTGTATTTGTCAGGGATTGTGGGAAACAAGTTTATTTGGGTAAGAAAAATAAATAAATAAAATAAAAGTCCAATTTTAATTTCCTTTTTTGTACATTCAATTTAATGAGTAATTTGGGTTTTAATTTTCCCAGGCGGGTTCGACACAGCCCATGCTGCAGCAAGGTTACCTATTTTTATTTAATTATTTATTTTCTATAAAATTTTAAAAAACTATATATGCATCTAAATTTCAATATTAATTTTTGGAAATTTGAGCCAACAGGGCTTATGATCGAGCTGCTATCAAATTTAGGGGAGTCGATGCAGATATAAACTTCAATATAAGTGACTACGACGAAGATATGAAACAAGTGAGTTTTTTTTTTTTTTTTTTTTTTTTTTTTTTTTTTTTTTTTTTTTTTTTTTTTTTTTTTTTTTTTTTTTTTTTTTTTTNGTTCTTTTCAATAAAAATTAAGGAAAGAAAAAGATTTTTTCTTCTCTGTTTTGCTCTGTTTTTGAAGAACAATCTGAAAGAGGAGGAGGAGGAAGAAGAAGAAATGATGATGTTGAATCTTAATGATTCGATTATGAACCGTGACGAAGCGACGACGGATCGGATCGTAATGGAGGATTCGGAGACTTCGAATTCCTCCGTCGTTAATGCCGATGAGGTCTGCAACAGCAGAGATGAAGAGTCCTCTGTTTTAATCTTCGATATTCTCAAGAAGGAAAGTCCCTGCGGCGTTGGCGGCGGTCCAGTGCCTGAATTAGTGACCCAGGCGCTTTTCCCGGTTGCTGGTGGGTGGGGAGATTCTGGGTCTCCGATACTCAGGACCCAGTGGCTGAACCTGTCGCCGACGGCGGATTCTGGTGGCGGTGGAGGACAGCCAGAGCTGAAAACTGTGCAGCCGAAACAACAGCAGGTGAGGAAGAGCCGCCGTGGGCCGCGGTCCAGAAGCTCGCAGTACCGTGGTGTTACGTTTTACCGGCGAACTGGAAGATGGGAATCTCATATTTGGTAATTAAATTAAAAAAATAAAATTTGGTGTTCATTTTTAATAATTGGTTCTTTCCCAATTTAGGAATTTCGTATTTTTATTTTTCGTGGAAACATTTTTAAATATTTTTTTAATTATAATTTTGATTTTTGTATTTGTCAGGGATTGTGGGAAACAAGTTTATTTGGGTAAGAAAAATAAATAAATAAAATAAAAGTCCAATTTTAATTTCCTTTTTTGTACATTCAATTTAATGAGTAATTTGGGTTTTAATTTTCCCAGGCGGGTTCGACACAGCCCATGCTGCAGCAAGGTTACCTATTTTTATTTAATTATTTATTTTCTATAAAATTTTAAAAAACTATATATGCATCTAAATTTCAATATTAATTTTTGGAAATTTGAGCCAACAGGGCTTATGATCGAGCTGCTATCAAATTTAGGGGAGTCGATGCAGATATAAACTTCAATATAAGTGACTACGACGAAGATATGAAACAAGTGAGTTTTTTTTTTTTTTTTTTTTTTTTTTTTTTTTTTTTTTTTTTTTTTTTTTTTTTTTTAATTTAAAGAATTCGAGAAGAAATAATTGAAGGGTTAATTTTTTTTTTCTTTTGCAGACAAAAAATCTAAACAAAGAAGAATTTGTGCATGTTCTACGTCGACAAAGTTCTGGAGTTTCTCGTGGAGGATCAAAGCTAAGAGGACTATCTGTTCAAAGATATGGACGATGGGAAACTCAAATGAATCAAATTATTGGAAAGAAGTAAGTAAAATATTTAAGATATACTCTGATATATACACTTCAGTTATTGCTGAACTGAGCTTGTTTTAATTCAACAATTTTTCAGGGGAACTGAGGAAAGGTCCGAGACGACGGTGGAAGCAAGTAATGGAGGTACGAGAAAAACAAAAGGAATTAAATGTCTTTTTTTTTAATATATAATTTTAATAAAATAATTTTGCTTTAAATGAAGGCAATGGACATAATCTTGATTTGAGCATTGGAGGAATTTTCAACTACCATTTTAGTAATTCTTCTCCAAAGCTCAACATTGAGAGACCAAAGGTGGCCCTCTCTCTCTCTCTCTCTATATATATATAATTAATTATTCTTATTTATATTTAATTTAATTTAATTTCACGTGGTGGGTATCCGTTTTCTTAATAGACCTACTCATTCTAAATAATAATGTAAAAATATTAACGTCTCGTTGGGTAACTATTTTGTTGTTGACTTTTTATTTGCTCGTTCCATCAAGTCAAGAATGTGTTCATGTTATGTGTGTTTGGTGACAGAATGAAAACAATGGATATGCACATGGAATGGGTGGACAACAACCTAATACTCCTCCTTCCGTGTTCTCTGGTTTTTACTCTGCTTTTTTACCACGTAATCAGGTAATTTTTCTGAGAAATTTGGAATTTAGATATCTAGGCATAGTTTATGCCACGATTAGTATATGTGAGATCCCACATCAATTCGAGACGAAGTATTATTTATAAGAGTGTGGAAACCTCTCTTTAGTTGACACTGTTTAAAACCATGAGGCTTACGGTGTTACGTAACAAGCCAGAACAGACAATATACGTTGTATACGCGTGTCTGGATAGTGGAGATTCTCGAGTTTGATTCTATTAACATGAGTGTGTCGTACAAGTCTAGAGACGAAATAGACAGTTCCATATGCTTCAGTTCTCGAGTTTGATTCTATTAACATGAGTGTGTCGTACAAGTCTAGAGACGAAAATGACTGATTCACGTCGTTTTTTTTGGACAGGAAAGAGGGAGAGAGACGATAAACAAGGAGTCGACGGGTTGGAGATGGCAAACGGCGAGGTCGATAGAAGGAAATGTGAACGAAGAAAAGAAGAAGACTATAGAAAGCCATGGTTCCAAGAGTGCAGCATCATCAGGATTCTCTCCCTCTCATAATTTTGGTTCATTTTATGCCCAAAACAACACACCTCTCCACACCAATCACTGCCTTCCAACGCCTTACACCAATATTTCTTGACCACCACTAATATTTTATGTGCTTTATTTGGTGCCTAATGACATAAATAATTAAGTTAATTATTTATTTATTTCCAACCCTTTTATAAGCAGAAAAAAAATCAATTCGAGCATGGTTCAGTTAGATAATAACACTCATCTCATGATTTTGCTTTGAGCTTTCCTAAAAGGCCTCATACCAACAAAGATAGTATTCATCACTTATAAACTCATGATCTTTCACTAAATTAACCAATGTGGGACTCACTCCCAATAATCCTCAATCCTCAACAATCCTATCTAAAAATTATTCAACTAATCGAGACATAAATAATGGATAGATACTATTTTCACTCAAGAAATCGTGTAGATAATGTAGTTTCTACACTGTGCTTGCTAAGTTTAATGATCGGTAGATGTAAGAAAGAGAGAATATTTTATGTTTCTCGTTAGTTATGTATTGAGTTATTATAAGTTCGTGATAGTGTATGTACAGATGATGATACTTAACTTTTTTTTTTTTCTTCTTCATGAATTGGGATGTTTGGATTTTTTTATTTATTGTTTATCAGTGAAAAATATTATTTAAAAATTTATATGGATTCATGGAACATTAAATAATTATTTATAAATAATAATAAATAAAAAAAATCATATCATAAATAATAATAAAAAAAATGTTCTAATGATTGTTTGGCATTGACTAGATTGGAATCCTATATATAAATTTAGAAAAATGTGAAAGTTATATTTTAATGGTAAATCTATTGTAAATAAATTATGATTTGTTAGAAATAAATTTTAATAATTTTTAAATTTTTTTTAAAATTAAGATCATACTAAAGAAAAATATAAAAAGGGATGTTTTTTTAAAAAATTATTTTTTTGAGTTGACATTAAATCGGCTACAAAAGGAATTAAAAAAAATAGTAATTCAATTCCTAAAATTGATTTAACGTTTAAAATATGTTTTAAAATTAAATGCGAAGAAAATATGAAAGTGGAAAAGGTTGAAAAGAAGGATTTTATGTTACTTGTTTTCTTGTACGCAACTTGCTTTGGTAGCTGCCGACACAATATAATATAATATAATATAATATAATGTCCACTACCTATTAATTTTTTATTTTTAACGTTTTCATTTTTGTTAAAAAGCATTTACCAAATTACCCTCGTTAATGTCGAAGATTATTGAGAGTGAGTCCCACATTGGTTAATTTAGTGAAAGATCATGAATTTTTAAATGAAGAATACTATCTCTATTGGTACAAGTTTTTTTTAGAAGTTTAAAGTAAAGTTAGGAGAATATATGTTTTATTAATGGTTTAGAATTATATTATATTTTATATTTTATTGAAAAAGAAAATCCAGAGATGAAATGGGCCGTGAAGCCCAGAAACTTTTAGCAAACGGCCCAGCCCAGGATTGAGAGTACAAAGCTTTGTGTGGTTTCTTAAACAAATGTTAGAACTTTCCCTGTCGTCGTCACGGAAACATCGAACGAAGAGATGTGGCGCGCCATTGACGCCCATCTGAGGTCCGTACGCCTCCTTCCGAATCTCTTTGCTTATTCTTCGTCATCGCCTCTGTTCTTCTCTGGCCGTTCGATTTTAGCTCGATCGAGTTCGACCTTCCTCTCGCCTGTACCGAAGCCTCACTCGATTACCCTCTCCAAAACCCTAGTGTTTTGTACTACCATTAACTGTTTATCGAGTGTTTCTTGTTCTGGCATTGGAATTCGACGCTTCGGTGGGTCGAGTTGCGGTGTGGTGGTGTTGGCAAGGTGCATTACCTCTTCGGTGCACACGTTGGAGTGGAATGAACCAGTTTCGTGTTCGGAGGTTGGAGAGGGGATTGGCGAGGGTGAAGCAGATGAAGTCGAGGAGGATTCTAGACCGTCTATTCCTGTCAGAGCGTACTTTATCTCCACTAGGTTGCAATTTCTTTCACTCTTTTGTTATTTTGGTGCCTGGGATGATCAATTGTGTTTGTTTTTTCATACAAGGACAAGTAATTGAAATTTGTCTTTACTGTGTTCCATTCCGGAAAGTGTTTGTGAATTTTGTTCCGAGAATTCTGTAATTTAATCGCAAGGTGGTGTCGTTTTGTTCTTCTTCTTTCCCTTCACCTCTTGCAGTTCTATATGACTATACTCATTTTTCATTCTTTTTCAATGGTTCTGGAATTTGTCTAGCGTGTAGCTTCAAAAAACTACTAAGGATTTGCATGACGTTTAAGTCATCACAATGTGGGTTACAAACTTGTGTGTTTCTGATTTATTCTCCATTCCACATATTTTCTTTGATTCAGTGTGGATTTGAGAAGCTTGGTGGATCAAAATAAACGTAACTTTATCCCGCCATCATCACGTATGACGAATTATGTAGTCCTTAAGTTCGGGGATCTTTGTAATGTGAACGTAAGCTTGCTATCTAGTGGATCATCGTTCATGATTAGTTGAATTAGTACACTTTGAAGACCGTTCTTTTTTTGTTTCAGACTCTTGGCGCCAGCGTAAGCGGAAGTGACTTTTCTTATATGGTAGTTTTTCAGTATGGCTCCATTGTGCTGTTTAACATACGTGAAGATGAGGTTGATGGGTATTTGAAAATTGTAGAGAAACATGCATCCGGATTGCTGCCTGAAATGAGAAAGGATGGTAAGAAATTCAAATGTATTTTTATACAAATTTGTTTCTACTGGAGTTATTATCATTGTTCTTATTGGTGATGCTTGTAGTGATATAAAACGCTAAGGATTCATTTATCTTTCCTTCATTGAACCATTTATAAGAAACGGCCCGTCTAAGTTGATTAGAATTGTAGGGTTGTTTCATAACAATATCAATGAGAGGCACTTTGACTTGATGTAATATGCTATACACAATTTAAAAGTTTGTCAAAAGAATTATATACATCTTGAAAAAGTAATACGTTCATTTATATACAACTTGAAAAGTAATACGTTGATTTATGTCCGCATCGACCAAAAGTAGTCCTGCTTTACTGCGCTCAGGTTCCTTTAAGTATGTCCCGTGCTATTTTGATAGTGTGTGTTACTTAAAGATACTTTAGTGTGGAAGTCTATAGTGTTCTGAATTTGAAGCTGTTTGAGTTTGTAGAGTATGAGGTGAGAGAGAAGGCTGCCTTAAATACATGGATGGAAGGGGGACTGGACTACATAATGCTGCAGTACTTGAATATTGATGGCATACGTACCATAGGTAGTGTTCTTGGTCAGAGCATTGCTCTTGATTACTATGGGCGACAGGTAGTTACCATATCTGACCAGACATTTTAATATCAATTAATGTTGATGATATTTGACATGATCCCACCATGCTTTTAACATTTTCTTCAAAGGTTGATGGGATGGTTGCTGAATTCACTGACATCAACCGTGAAATGGAAGCAACTGGGAAGTTCAAAATGAAGAGGAAGAAACTTTTCCAGTTGGTGGGAAAGGCAAATTCAAATCTTGCTGATGTCATTCTCAAGCTTGGGCTTTTTGAGAGGTTGGTTAGTTATTTCCTGCTGTTAATAGTTAGTTTGTTGTATGCTTAGAATTAAATTATGAAATCTGAACAAGAGACGATGCAAGACGAAAAATAGCTGTTCAAGTGGTAATTATGTGAGATCCCACATCGGTTAGGGAGGAGAACGAAATATTCTTTATAAGGGTTTGGAAGCCTCTCCCTAGAGAACGAGTTTTAAAAACCTTGAGAGGAAGCTCGAAAGGGAAAGCCCAGAAAGGATAATATTGACTAGCGGTGGGCTTGGACTGTTACTAATTTTGTGTTGTTTGCTTGCTTAGTTTGGCTCGTTTTAGTGCCCCTCTTGGCTTGTTGTCTTGGACTTGTCATTTTATACAACTCTCGTTCTTTTCTACTTTCCACCATCTCAAAAGAAGAGGTTTCTGACATAATTCGCCATTACTTATTCCTTAGGTTATTTCTTGTGGATATTACACACTATGTTAAAATCTTGAAAACTGATGCTATTGTATTATCTGCGCACTTTTCAGTGAGCATACTGTTTCCTTTTGCTTATCCTGATTCCTGCATATAATCTAAAGACATCTATTCGTTTTTGCGTTTTTCAGATCAGACATTGCGTGGAAGGATGCAAAATATGCTCAAATATGGGAATATCTTAGGGATGAGTTTGAGTTAACACAGAGATTCGCTAGTCTGGATTTCAAATTGAAGTTTGTGGAGGTAGTACCATCTACTTAAGATGAAAATATACGTTCGTCTTGATTATTTATTCGTCGATAAGGATATATAATTCATTCATCTTGAACTCCACCTTTTTTTTTTGTTTTTGTCAGCATAATATTCGCTTCCTACAGGAGATTCTGCAAAACAGGAAATCAGATTTTTTGGAATGGCTGATCATTGCACTGATAGGTGCAGAAATTTTACTCTCAATTTATGACATTATTCATAGATCAGCAGCTAATCTGTAGCACTGTTTGCTTCCTCATCGTTGGAGTTGGAACGAGGTTCGTACTTATATCGTGACTGCGATTTGTACAATGTACATAGGTATGTAAATTTGGATCATTCTGCTATACGACTCCGATAATTTTAACGAATTTTTGTTATTGGATTGCACTCTAAGGGTGCAGAGTGCTTATAGTTAAGAGTTCTACCATTCTTTGAAGAAATGGATCTCAGTTTTTTCTGTTTATTTTTCTCCTACTGTTCAACATTCATTTGACTTGTAACAAAAGCTTAGAGTGCTTGGTTTTTTCTTTAACAGTGTTAGCAAGATGAACTTGGTTCAAGTTAACTTTATTCGAGTTGGGTTCACCAACTTAACCAATCCAAAGTTTCGGATTGGTCTAAGTGTTCTAAACCAACTCAAACTTATGTATGCCCTATTTAATAAGACTTGCTTGAATCGAAAAGGTTTATGTTTGAATAATCAGGTTGAGTTTAAAATGTCTCAAACTCGATTTAACTAACATAATCCATGAAGGTTTACGATTGAATAATTTGAATAATTAGATTTAAACTTCTACTCTTGATTTTTTTATTAACTACATACTTTTGATTTTGTTATTATTTCCTATTAATTAATTTTCAAAATTAAATTAGTTTTTACTATTTTCTATCACTAATAAAATTAATTTAAAATTTAACCTGCTAATTATTTTAAATTAGTGGAAGATAGAATGTGAATATTACAAAATATTGATAAAATATTGAAATCTAAGGTCAAATAAAAACTAAACGTTTGAAAATTTAAGAATTAAATAGAAAAATGAAAACTAGTATAAAAGAACGTCAAAATGAGAATTTTTCCAAAAAAAAAAAAAAAAAAAAAAAAAAAAAA